ATCTGCAGTGACTTTGGAGCCCAAAAAATAAAGTCTGACAATTTTTCCACTGTTTCCCCATTTATTTCCCATGAGGTGATGGGACAAATGCCATAATCTCAGTTTTCTGAATGTTGAGCTTTAAACCAACTTTTTCACTTTCATCAGAAAGCTTTTTAGTTCATCTTCACTTTCTGCCATAAGGGTGGTGTCATCTGCATATCTGAGGTTATTGATATCTCTCCCGGCAATCTTGATTCCAGCTTGTGCTTCTTCCAGCCCAGCGTTTCTCATGATGTACTCTGCATATAAGTTAAATAAGCAGGGTGACAATATACAGCCTTGACGTACTCCTTTTCCTATTTGGAACCAGTCTGTTGTTCCATGTCCAGTTCTAACTGTTGCTTCCTGACCTGCATACAGGTTTCTCAAGAGGCAGGTCAGGTGGTCTGGTATTCCCATCTCTTTCAGAATTTTCCACAGTTTATTGTGATCCACACAGTCAAAGGCTTTGGCATAGTCAATAAAGCAGAAATAGATGTTTTTCTGGAACTCTCTTGCTTTTTCGATGATCCAGTGGATGTTGGCAATTTGATCTCTGGTTCCTCTGCCTTTTCTAAAACCAGCTTGAACATCTGGAAGTTCACGGTTCACATATTGCTGAAGCCTGGCTTGGAGAATTTTGAGCATTACTTTACTAGCATGTGAGATGAGTGCAATTGTGGGGTAGTTTGAGCATTCTTTGGCATTGCCTTTCTTAGGGACTGGAATGAAAACTGACCTTTTCCAGTCCTGTGGCCACTGCTGAGTTTTCCATATTTGCTGGCATATTGATAGGATATGAATGAAATATTGCTGGCAAATTTGCTGGCAAAAAGATAGGATGCTGAAAGAGGAACTCCCCAGGTCGGTAGGTGCCCAATATGCTACTGGAGATCAGTGGAGAAATAACTCCAGAAAGAATGACGGGATGGAGCCAAAGCAAAAACAACACCCAGTTATGGATGTGACTGGTGACAGAAGCAAGGTCCAATGCTGTAAAGAGCAATATTGCATCGGAACCTGGAATGTTAGGTCCATGAACCAAGGCAAATTAGAAGTGGTCAAACAGGAGATGGCAAGAGTGAATGTCAACATTCTGGGAACCAGTGAACTAAAATGGACTGGAATGGGTGAATTTAACTCAGATGACCATTATATCTACTACTGTGGGCAGGAATCCCTTAGAAGAAATGGAGTAGCCATCATGGTTAACAAATGAGTCCGAAATGTGGTACTTGGATGCAATCTCAAAAATGACAGAATGATCTCTGTTCGTTTCCAAGGCAAACCATTCAATATCACGCTAATCCTAGCTTATGCCCCAACCAGTAATGCTGAAGAAGCTGAAGTTGAACGGTTCTATGAAGACCTACAAGACCTTTTATAACTAACACCCAAAAAGCATGTTCTTTTCATTATAGGGGACTGGAATGCAAAAGTAGGAAGTCAAGGAACACCTTGAGTAACAGGCAAGTTTGCCTTGGAGTACTGAATGAAGCGGGGCAAATCTAATAGAGTTTTGCCAAGAGAACGTACTGGTCATAGCAAACATCCTCTTCCAACAACAAAAGAGAAGACTCTACACATGGACATCACCAGATGGTCAACACCGAAATCAGAAATATGTAACATTAGACAGTAGTAATCAAGAGATAATAGAACTCCCAAGAAGTGGCAGCTATTCCATGCTCTACTCTGGCCATATGACAGCTATCGAACTGGGATTCTTTCTGGTGGCTGCACATAATGAGAGATATTAGAAAACAAAGCCCCACTAAATGAGGACAATCCAAGTGGTAAGAGTAATATATATAAACTCCAAATCAGAGCTTGAAATATCTGAGGATGTTTATACCAGAAAAGAGAAACCTAGGAAAACTGATAGTGATCTCCAGATCCTTATAAAGCAATGAGAAACCAAAAATAGACTTGCTTTGCACCCTTGGGCTATAGTTCTCCCAAGCATCTCCCAGTGGGACACACTGTTTTCCATTTGGAAGGTGATCTCAAAGGACTAAAAATAATTAAAAACCACAAGTCTGGGATTGAGTCTTACTTGTTATAAACTAAAGAAAATTGGGGCTATTCTTATAACATACTTTCATTCATTTGTTATTGAGAGAAAGATACAGGTGAATTTATATCCAGTATAAGAGGAATTACACTCTGTTATTCTCAAGGGACTGTGAGTCACTCAGGAAGTTAGAACCAGTGTCTTGGAATAACATAAAATCCGACTTCAATTCAATATAATGATATAGGATCTAATAATAGAAAGGTCAGAATGTAACCTGAAAATACACAGATGCTATTAGATGGATCCTGGTACTCAGTATGTGGCTAGATTTGATGTCTAACTTTCAGTAAAATGTTTTTTATTTTAAAAACTGAGACTTTCCCACTTTCTTTCCTTTCTTTAGCTTTAGGATTTACCTTACTCCTCCTAAATATTTATTGTGTATATCCCAGCCTTTCCCAAAATGTGGAACACTTTAAAGAGATTTATGATTATAGCAAGTATATGCAATGGATTTTGTTTGTGGTACATAAACATCAAATCAAGAAGAAAGGTATAATCACCTCGATTCTTTTGGTCTGATTAAGTCAAGGAGAAGCTCAGTCTAATTTTGTCCCTCTTTAATGTATCTTAAATTCTTACCCATTGTCTCATGGTCAGTCAGTCTTTTCTAGACAAAACAATAATATCTAAAGATAATGTCTAAAATATCAGTTTTTATTTCACCTTTTATATGGTTATGTTGTGTGTTAATTGACTTCTGTTTATTCTAGAAACAAAAACTCCTTTTTATGCAAAATGATTTAAATGAAAAACTAAACCAATGTAAAGAAAAATACTAAGTAACAGTACACTTGGTAGTTCATGGCCAAATTTGAAAAGGTAGTTTGACAATAACTGGACTTTGAGAAACACAGCATAATGGGGAATATGTGTGTTTTTATTTCTTCACTTTAGCATCTATTATTTCAATTAGATGACCTTCTTTCCTCCCTCTTCATTCACACATATTTTGTATACACTTTCATGGCAGCCTGTAACTATTCCTATTAGGGAAACTTATTTTCTATATTTAATTGTTTGCTTACTAGTCTACCTATTCCTTCACAATGTAAACTCCTTGCAAATAAGCAATAGATCTATAATCACTGTTTCTCTCAGTGCAAATGTATGTGACATATCAGTTTTTCAATAACTTTGGTTGAATAAATAAAATTATCTGCAAAAAGAATCATAATTTTCAAACCTGATCTAAACACTTAGACCTTTTTCCTGTTGACTTATGCTCTACTCTAGACTTATTAATATTTCTCACTTGGATGCCTGCATGCAACAAGACCATATTACAATACTTTGCTTTCAGGTATATATTTATAATACATTTATTATGTCTTCAAAGTTCTTAGGCTTTCTTAGTGTGTAAGTTTTTGGAGATCAAAGTGGAGATTATGTCAAACTTTTCCTGTCATCAGCAAAATGTTATAACAAATTAAGCATGCCATGCTTATATTATATATGGTGTACATTTAACTCATTAACAGAATATCAACTAACGGTTGTATAAAATATGTTGTGCCCTTTAATGTCATTGGTCTAAGAAGCTGTGCTTATGAGTTTGTTTTAAATCTCTGAAACTTCATCCTGTAATTGAGGAAATTCACTTATAAGTAAATAATTGGAAATATTATCTAATTCAAGAATTTTGTAAGCATCCAGAATCTTTGGGACACCTCTGCTTCCTTTGCAAGTTTCTATTGTGATTAAGTATTGTTTAGTTTATGCTTAATTTGTAGGATTCTGCTGTTTTACTCTCACAGAAAACCAGAGTTTTAATATCACTATCATGTCTGTCACTTCTCCTGTTGTGTTCTTGAACTCAGGGCCTGCATATCTGATTTATTGAGAGTGCTTCTAAAACTGACCATATTTTATTATACATTTCTTTATCATTTCTTTTAGAAGAGTTCTTTATTTCCCCAAGTATCAGCAACTCTCACCATCTTATGCTTGGAAGCATGGGGGGAAGACCTGTTTAAACCTCACCTTTACTCAGTTTTGTGGACCCAAAATGTATTTAAGGTGACAAAATCATCCCAAGCCTAATACCTAATCTGCCAGAGTTGTCCTCCTCAAAATGACATATTATCCCATCTTTCTTGTTGTAGAGTGGTAATTCACCTTTAAACAAATGTTTAGTATGATTTTAAAGAATTTTCTCCTTCTTCTCAGAGCCCAGCTTGTTTTATTTCTCCTTATATGCTCTAAAATACGAATGAGAATATATTTCTCATTAGAAACAAATCAAATGAGAGGATAGTGAAACATCTCTAAAGCACTGAGAGAGAAAACTGTCAACTTGGAATTTCATATCTGGTTAAGATGCTTTTTCAAAACAAAAGCAAGACTGCTGGTATTTGATCCAACATGTGGAGAGCTTGAAAATCATCACTTTCAATTCTTACAACAAGAAAAAAGCTGAGCAAACTGAAAATCAGGAATTTTTCTTAGATCCATCAGAGAAGTGAGATCATAAAGAAAACTACCGCTCTCAAAGCTGGAGAGACAAGAGAATTTAGAAAATTACAACCATGATTACCTAACTTGTAGCAGAATCCACTGGAGCCATAAAATGATAGGAATGCTTGAAAAATAATTTTAACAAACCACCGATTCCCTAGGGTGGGAATGAAAAACTCCTAGGGGTTAGAGACCTCTCTACTCCTCACACATAGTTTCATGAACTATACCTCCAGGAACACCGTCAGTTTCTTGAATTAAAGAACCAAGAAACATCCCCTTGGGTTTTAGGTAGGGAAAGGATAAGAGTAACCATTTGCAATATACCTGGAACACCCTTCATAACGAAGTTCTGCTCTCCAGGGGTACCTGCATACAAAAGCCTTGTATACCTGGAAGAAGAGTAACGAGGAAATTCCACCCCACACTAGTTTTCCTGACTCACCTAGAAGGGAAGGAAAATTAAGAAATATTTCTGAAGGTCACAACCCAGGGCTTCAGATCAACTACAAACCTGAGAATTAATCATAATGCTATGGAATGTTTCCTCTCTCCAAATTCTTATCACCTCATCAGCAGGGCTGTGGTATAATAACAGTGGATTATAACTGAAAGAGCTGGAAGACAAAAACTTTCTTTAAGAAGGTGCTCTTAGGGAGCCCAGAGACAACAGGATAGAGCATAAATAAATAAATAAGCACCCTAAGTGAAACTGCAGCCTTTGGTACCTAGATATACAGAAAGTATTAAATACATTCTAGTTCCTAGATAGATTAATATTAAAGCTCACAATAAAGATATCTTTACCTTGGCTCTTATTACTCAATATATTGTATCCAGGTTCCAACAAAAAAGTATAAAGTATACTAAAGACAAGAAAAAACACAGTATCTGAGGAATCAAAACAAGCATTAAAAGCAGACTCAGATATTGACACAGATTTTGGAACTATCAAATAAGAAATTTAAATAACCATGATTAATATTGTATATACTCTGTGGGAAAGGTATATGAACTATAGGAATATGTGGTAAGCAGAGAGAAGGAAACTATAAAAAATAAAAAGGAAATTTTAAAAATCAAAACACTGTAACAGAAATGAAGACTTTTTTGATGGGTTCATCTGTAGACTAGAAAGAATCAATAAGCTTGAATATATGTAATAGAAACTTCTCAAAGGAAATGCAAAGTGAAAAAAAAGATAAAATGTAAAACAGAATATGCAAGAAATGTGGGACAATTATAAAATGTTACATACGCACAATTGTTACATATTCGAGGGAGAAGAATGAGAGAAAAAAACAGAAGTAGTATCTGAATTAATAATGGGTGAAAACTTTCCAGAATTAATGGCAGACACAAAACAATAGATCCATAAGTTCAGGTAACATCAAGCAAGAAAAATATAAAAAGTAAACAAACAAACAAAATCCCCACATGTAGGCAAATAACACTGTAATAACAGCAAACCAAAGACAACCAGAAAATCTTAAAAAAAGCAAAAGCCCAAGAGAAAAAAATATACCTTACCTATGGAGAAACAAGTAATGGGAATACAAAGTGAATCTTCCATTAGAAACCAGGCAAAGAAGAAGAATGTGGAGTAAAGTACATAAGGAGTAGAAAGGAAAACAGAACCACCAATCTAGAATTTTATATCCAGAGAAATTATCCTCAGAAGTCAAGAATAAATAGACTTTCTCAGACAAACAGAAAAGATAGGATTTATTGTCAGAAGATTCATCCTGTAAGAAATATTAAAAGAAGTTATTAAAATAGAAGGGAAATACATAGGCAAAAATGGGAACTACATAAAGAAACAGTGGTGGCAAAAGAATAAACATAGATGAAATAAAATCATTTATTTTAAACTTCTTAATAGATAAGAGTGTCAGTGTATTGAGTGATAATAATATATGGATAGGCAAAATAAGCCACAACAATTTAAATGGGATAAAAGAGAGAAAATGGGAAAACTCTGTTACAAAGTTTGTAACTATTGTGTAAATATAAGAAGAATGCACAATTGTCATTACCCATGACATTGGAATAGTATTTTAAGGTGGACTTAGAATAGTTCTAAATATACATTGCAAATTCTAGGTTAGACACCAAAAAGCTTTTAAAAGAATTGTACTCAATATGCTAAGAGAAGAGAAAAAGTATAATCATAGAAAATGCTCAACTAAAAAGAGAAATAAAAAGAAAATATAAAAAGAAAAAAGTCAAGTGCAGCATATATAAAACAATTATAAACATGGTAGATACTAATCAAAATATATCAGTAGTCAATTTTAATGTGAATTGTCTAAATGCAACTAAAAGACAAAAAAATTGACATTTTTTAAAAATTGTCAAAATAATTTTTTTTAAAGGCCTAAAAGAACTCACTTTAAATGCAAAGAGGAAAATAGGTTTTAAAAGGGGGGGAGTGGAGAAACATATACAACACTAACATTAATCAAGAGAAAATGAGAATAATATACTAACCATGAAGAAAAACTATGCACAAATTGCCAGAATATATTACATCATGATAAAGGAATTAATTCTCCGAGAAGACATAAAAATCATTAACATGTATGTAATTTTTAAAAAATCATCAAAATACATAAGAACTGATAGAAAAGCAAAAAGAAGTAGATAATTTTTCTTCTAGAGTTGTAGACCTTATTATCTTTCAGTAATTGATAGGTAAATCCAGCAGAAAATCAATAAAAGTATAGTTGAAATAAACACCACAGTTAATCAACAGGATCTATTTGATATTTATAGAATAATGCTTTCAAAAACAGTGGAATACACATTCTTCTGGAGCTCAAAAACAACACTCACCTAGAAAGTTAAAATTTTGGCCATAAAAATACCTTAGACATTTAAAAGAATAAAAATCATATGAAATATATTTTCAGACCATAATAGAATTAAATTAGAATTTAATAACAGAAAGATACTTGGAAAATCCCCAAATATTTGGGGTTTGAAAAATAAAATCCTGAATAACACATGGGTCAAATTTTTTAAAAATCCTCAAGAGAAATTTTTAAATAATTTGAACTAAGTGAAATGAAAATAGAGCTAATCAAGATTTATGGACTGCCACAAAAACAGTGTTTAGAGGAAAATTTATAGCATGAAATGTGTATGCTACAAAGAAGAATAATCTAAAATCAATAATCTAAGATTGCACCTAATAAAGAAGAGCGATTTAGTCCTAATGCAAATGGAAGAAAAATTAGTAAAAGTTAGAGCAGGTATCACTGAAAGTAAAATCAGACAGTCAGTAGAAAACATTTCACAAAACTGAATGCTGTTCAAAACGATCAATACAACTGATAAACCTCTGGCTAGACTAATGGAGAAAAAAGAATGGACAGATTACTTTAATATCATGAATGAAGCAAGTGTCTTCACCACAGAACCCATGGATTTTTCTCAGTTAAGATGACAATAAAGAAATATGAGCAACTCTAGTTCCACAAATTTGATAATTTAGATGAAATGGACCAATTTTATGAAAAAGGCACACTACCAAAGCTCTCACAAAAGCAGAAACAGATCATCAAATTGGCCTATATATATTAAAGAAATTGAACAAATAATTAATAGTCTTTTAAATTAGAGAGTATCTGACCAAAATGGCTTCACTGGTGAATTCTAACAAACATTTAAGAAACAACCAATTCTTTACATTCTCTTCCAGAAAATAAAAACAGAATATTTCCTAGCTCTATAATGCCAGCATTACACTAATGGCAAAACTAGATAAAGACATTACAAAAGGAATACTATATGTCAATATCTTTTATGAACATAGACCAAAAATCCTCAACAAAATATTAGCAAATTGAATTCAACAAAGTACAAAAAGAATTATGCAAAATGACAAAGTGGGATTTATTCCAGTTACACAAGGCCAGTTCCCCATTTGAAAATCAATTTATGTAATCTACTATATCAATAGGCTAAAGAAGAAAAATTATGTCAATTGAGGCAGAAAACACATTGGACAAAATCCAATATATATTCATGACATAAACTCTCAGATAAATAAGAATAGAAGGTAACTTTCATAAATAACATCTGCAAACTACCTCCAGCTAACATCATACTTAATAGTGAGTTACCAGCATAATTTCCCCCTAGATCAGAAATAGGCATATCTTTTTCTTCCACTTTTTTTCCCACATTATACTAGGAGTAGTGCAATAAGACAAGGAAAGGCAATAAAGTTATGCAAATCTAAAAAAAAGAAAAACTGTCTATTTTTTCACAGATGACGTGTTGTCTATGTAGAAAATCTCAATGAATTAAAAAGAATTCAGGAACAAATAAGTGATTATAGCAAGGTCATAGGATACATGGTTAATATACAAAACTCTATTGCTTTCCTTTTTTTGTCAGCAAAGAACTTTTGGACCTTGAATGTAAAATTCAGTACCATTTACATTAATATCAGAAATAAAATATTTAGGTTCACATTTAACAAAATACACATAAGTTCTATGTGTGAAAACTTAAACTCTGATGAAAGAATTTTTAAAATCTAAATAAATGGAGATAGAGTCCATGGTTATGAATCAAAAGACGCAATATTTTTTGAGATGTCAATTCTCCCCAACTCTATCTATTGATTCAATGCATGTAAAATATCAGCAAGGTATTTCATGGATATTCACAAAATCCTTCTAAAGTTTATATGAAAATGTAAAATATAGAGAGTAACCAACATGATGTGGAAGAAAAGAACTAAGTGGAGCACCGATGTTACCAATCTCAAACTTAACGCAAGATATGGTGATAAAGACAGCACAATTTTATCAAAAGAATAAGGAACAGGATAAAGAGCCTACAATTTGTCCCACATAAATATAATTAAATGATCTTCAATAAAAAAGCAAAGGTAATATAATAAGAAAAAGAATCTTTTTTTTTCAACCAATGGTACTGGATATTCACATCTGGAAAAAAAAAAAAAAAACTAATCTAGCCACATAACTTCTGCCTCTTACAACATTAACTCAAAATTAATCATCGACTTAAATTTTAAAATGTAAAAAATTGAAATTCTAGAAAAAAATAGAATAAAATCTAAGTGAATTTAGATTTCCTAACACATTTTCAGATACAACCAAAGTAGGAACCATGATAGAAAAAAAGCAATAAGTTGGACTTGATTAAAATATTCTACTCAGCAAAGTGTTAGTTGCTCAGTCGTGTCTGATTCTTGGCGAACCCATGAAGTATAGCCCACCAGGCTCCTCTGTCCATGAGATTCTCCAGCAAGAATATTGAAGTGGATTGCCATTCCTGTCTCCAAGGGATCTTCCTGACCTAGGGGTCAAACACAGGTCTCCTGCATTGCAGGCACATTCTTTGCCATCTGAGTCATTGAGAAAGCCCAAAAGGCAAAAGAAATTATACATAAGCCCATTAATAGAGAAAGTAGTTTCCATGGAAGTACAGAATAATGAATATGATACTGATATGAATGTATGCTGAAATTAAACAAACAAATGAATGGA